CTGTCTCAAAAAAAAAAAAAAGAAAGAAAGAAAGAAATGTTAGTTACAATAGTATTGTTTTTGGATGGGAAGGTCTGGAACGTAGTTAGTGTCCAGACCTTCCTCAGCTTTCTCAGAGGAAGAATTCCTCCTCTCTGAGTGGCCTCAGCTATGCCTCCTACTAGATTACTATCCTGTTTATTCACCCAAAGATTGCAGGCCGCTGGGCCTCCCGTGAAACAACAATCTGAGGCAAGGGTGACACCCTAGGCAGAGGACGTGTTTGTTTTCCTAACTTCTTGAGCGGGATCCAAAGAGCTGTTTCTTGGTTGACTCAGCCTCTTTGCAGTAGGAGACCATGACCGGCACACACAGGGCAAACGATACAGCTCTGTGTCTGAGTTCGTATCCAGTATGGGATTTGTCCTTTCATTCACTCATTCATTTGGTTGTTAAATTCACACACGTGTCTTAGATGCCTGCTATATGTCAGGCACTGCTGTAGACCATGAGACAATCAATTAAAATGCAATGAATTAAAACTTAATTAATAAGGGACTTATTTGTGCACGTATGTTCAGAGCAACATTATGCATAATACCTAAAAGGCAGAAGCAGCCCAAAGGTCCATGGACAAATACGTTAATAAACAAAATGCGATCTAGACATACAATGATATGGTATTTAGCCCAACAAAGGAAGGAAATTCTAGCCAGGTTCGGTGCCTCATGCCTGTAATCCCAGAACTTTGGGAGGCCGAGGCAGGGGATCGATTGAGGCCAGGAGTTTGAAACCAGCCTGCTCAACATAGCTGGACCCTGGGTCTACAAACGGAAAAAAAAAATTAACCAGGCACGGTAGTGTGCATCTGTAGCCCCGGCAACTCAGGAGGCTTAAGTGGGAGGATTGCTTGAGCCCAGGAGTTCAAGGCTACAGTGAGCCATGATTGCACTCAGGCCTGGGTGACAGAGCAAAACTGCCTCAAAAATAAATAAAAAAATAAAGCAGACGACAATAGATTAAAAAGAGAGGAAATTCTAACACATGCTACTTAGACACGGATGAACCTTGAGGACTTTATATTGGGTGAAGTTAGCCAGTCACAAAAAGACAAATAACTGTGAAATTCCGCTTCTAGGAAGTGCCCAGAGGAGTCAAATTTGTGAAGACAGAAAGTAGAGAAGGTGGTTAGCAGTAGCAGTGGGGAAGGAGTGAAGAATTATTGCTTAATGTTTACAGAGCTTCAGTTTGGGGAGGTGATAAAAGTTCTGGAGATGGACGTAGTGATAATTGCATGATGCAGATGTATGATAACCAGAATATGCTATCCCAAAATAAGCCTCTTTGACATAAGGATTATTTTGAGCTGATTATTTTGAGAAACTGCAGACACAGGAGAAATTCTGAAAACAGAGCAGAAGTTACTCTTTGTAAGGCGAATTTACATCTATAAAGGAAATCTTTATTGTAAGGGTGTCCCAGAGACAGGTGATTTGAAATCACTAGACTCCCTTCGTTGGACAAGGCATGGATTTAATTCCGCATCACAAATCTTACCCTTGTTTACTGTACTTTTCCTGGGCCTCTTCTTTCTTTTTTTTTTTTTCCTTTTTGAGATAGAGTGTGCTCTGTTGTGCAGGCTGGAGTGCAGTGGCACGACGATCTAGGCTCACTGCAACCTCTGCCTCCTGAGATCAAGGGATTCTTCTGCCTCAGCCTCCAGGTAGCTGGGACTATAGGTACATGCCACCATACCTGGCTCATTTTTTTTTCAGTAGAGACAGGGTTTCACCATGTTGGCCAGGCTGGTCTCGAACTCCTGAGCTCAAGTGATTTGCCTGCTTCAGCCTTCCAAAGCGCTGGGATGACAGGAATGAGCCACGGCGCCTGGCCAACATCTTAGAATGGGCCCTCCCCATATCCTCCTTTCTTTGTTTCAGTTGAAACTCAGCCTGGTATCTCAGCCTGATTTTTAAGTCAACTCTTTGATATTCACTCATTTCTCTTCGTGTCTTCCATGTATACAAGAAGTACACGTTATTAAACTGTTGTTTGCCTTTCTCTTAATAATCTGTCTTTTTTCTCAGGAGTCGGCCTCAACTAAGAAATATTTCTCTCCTCTCCTGCAGTTCTTAATGCCGCTGAACTGTATAGTTAGCCAAGGTTAAAATGATAAAGTTTATGTTATGTATATATTTCTCACCATAATTTTTTAATATTAAAAAACCATAATAGCTTTAGATAGTGGAATCAAGCATAGAAATTGTAGAAATTAAGCTCATGGAAAAATTTACAAAACAGATTTAGCTTTTGCAATTTTTGTTTTGAAACTTCTTTTGAACAGACAATTTACCATACAAGATACACAGGTAACAAACGAGCACAGGAAAAGATGCTCAGCATCCTTAGTCATGAAACTCTCAGAAGGCGCCCGGACACGCCTCTCACGATGGCTAAAATGAAAAAAGATTGACCTTACCAGCTGAGGACAAGGATGCAGAGCAAATGGGACTCTCATTTATGACTGGTGAGAATGTAAAATGATACAACCACTTTGGAAAATAGTTTGGCACTTTGTTGAAAAGTTAAACAATACTACCCTGTGATCTAGCCATTGCATTCCTAGATATTTACCCAGGAGAAACGGAAGCATGTGTTCCTACCGAGACGGACACAATGTCCATCAACAGGTAAGTGAAAATAACAAACTGTGTTGTATGCGTACAGCACCATGTCACTCAAAAATGAAAACGAAAACAAAAAAACTGGCCAGCAGCACTGGCTCACACCTGTAATCCCAGCACTTTGGGAGGCCAAGGTGGGCGAATTACTTGAGGTCAGGATTTGAGACCAGCCTGGCCAACATGGTGAAACCCCATCTCTACTAAAAGCACAAAAATTAGCTGGGTGTGGTGGCACCCACCTGTAATCCCAGCGACTTGGGAGGCTGAGGCGTGAGAAGTGCTTGAACCCGGGAGGCAGAGGTTGCAGTGAGCTGAGATTGCACCACTGCATTTCAGCCTGGGTGACAGAGTGAAACTCTGTCTCAAAAACAAAGAAAACTCCAACAAAAGCCAGGTAAGCTGTGGGCTATGAATACAGCACCATGCCACTTTCAATGATTGAAAAATGAACTGTGGCTTCTCTATGGATGAATCTCAAAAGAATTATGCTGAATGAAAAAAGACAGGCAAAAAAGAGAATATGCTGTATGATTACATTCAATGCAAACCGGTTTATGGTGACAGAGGGCCAGTCAATGGTTGCCTGTGAAGGAGGGAGGGGATGAAGGAGGAAGAGATTACCAAGGGGCACAAGGACATTTTGGGGGGGGAGGCGACAGATAAATTCATTATCTTGATTGTGGTGATTTTTTTTCATGGGTGTGTGCCTGTGTCACTTATGTGCAGTTTACTATACGTCAATTATGCATTAATAAATGTGCTAAAACCAAAATGAACAAAATGTAAATGCACACACAGAAAGTGCAGTTAGGCTGGGCGTGGTAGCTCATGCCCAGAATCTCAGCACTGTGGGAGGCTGAGGTGAGAGGCTCTCTTGAGTCCTGGAGTTCAGTACCAGACCCATAAGATAGTGAGACATCGTCTCTACCAAAAATTAAAAAAAATTACCCAGGTGTGGTGGTGCGTGGCTGTAGTCCCAGCTATTTGGGAGGCTGAGGCAGGAGGATTGATTGAGCTCGGGAGGTCAAGGCTTTGGTGAGCCATGATTGTGCCATTGCACTCCAGCCTGGGTGACAGAGCATCACTCTGTCCTAAAAAGAAAAACCTTAGAAAGCTTTACAAAAGCTTTTAGAAAGCCAATCTGGCTGTTAGGAAGTGAGCCGGAGGAAAAGTAGGGCACAGGTAGGAACCAGAGGGTCTAGGTGAGGAGAAGTGAGGACGTCACTGGTGGGGCAGTGGCTGGAGTCCAAAGCTGCATGGATGTGGTCTGTTCCTACGCCAGCCACTCCCTCCATCTATTCAAGACCCCGGAGAGGTAGGAAATTTGACCCCAGCTTTACAGAGAGGACAGTGACTAGGAGCAGTGAAGTCACTTGCTTAAGGGCACACAGCTGATGGAGAGCTAGGGATTCCAGTCCTGTGGGTTCGGAGTCCAAAGCCCATGCTTGTAGGGTCCAGCCCTACAGGTCCCGTGAGTCACTCTCTGCTGGTGTGGAGACGAGAAACTGTGGAAATAAAAGAAACAAGACACAAAGAGAAAACAGAGTTTGGGCCCAGGGGTCCACTGCCAACCAAAGCCCAGAGACCAGCAGTGGCCCCGCATGCCTGGACGCTCTGACATTTATTGAGTACAAAGCAGGGAAGTGCAGGTAGGATAAAGTAATGCTGGTCAGCGATAGGGTCAGGCAAATCAGGCACGGTAGAATTAGAAAAGAATTAGAGATACAGTTACATAGTGTCTTGGAGATAGGGGGCCTAAGACTTTGAAGAAGCCCAGGGGAGGGGAAAACCTAAGGCGTCAGCACTTTTTTCATAGTTGTCAAGAAATGTCAAGGTCACTATGATTTATGTTACTATTACTAATTCTTATCTTCTAAGGAAAGAGGAACCAGGTGCAGAAGCAGAACTTGAAAGTAGCCATGGAACGTGACCGCTGAATCACAGCACCACATGGAGACAATTAAGTCCCCGGATGTCTGTGGGCCTCCCTGACAGCCGTCAGGCCTCCCACAAGAGCTTGGAGAAGTGGAGTTTTCTCCTCCTCCGGGGAAGGAGATGTCTTGGCCATCTTGGATGTCTCCTTACCTGGCTGGCTAAACAGCGGGCACTTTCCCAGTGCTGACACCGTCACACAGCCAAGGCGTCCTCCAGCAGCCCTTATGCGGGTGTGACAGAGGACTCAGAGCATCCTGTCTTAGGGTCATCTCTTTTACAATGCCACTTCAGTCCCATACTTCTTGACCTGAGGCTTATTAGTAAGATTAAAGATTAGATGATTATATAGATGTGTTTATGATTACATAGGAATAGCTATGTGATTATTTATGATTTTATATATAGGAATAACTATGTAACTGTATCTCTAATTCTTTTCTAATTCTATGTTTATATGAGAACATGCTGAGGCTTCAGACCCTTGCCTCGGCTCTTGCGGGGTTCCTCCCCACCACATGCTCACAAGCACCTTTCTAATGTAGATAAAAGCCATCGAGGAAGACTCTCCCTCGTCTTGCTGTCTGAAATTACTCATCCTCATGACCATTTGTTGCATGACGATCTTTCCTTGGGAGGAGGCAGGGTGCCATGGGAATATTAACGTCATCTAGGCAGTCAGGAAGGGAAGGCTTCCTGGAGGAAGGGACATTCCAGCTGAGCTGCAAAGAATGCTCAGGAAGGGGAGGAGTCGGAAATGCTTATGAGAAAAGGGAGAACGTGTTCTGGGGGCGGGGTGTGACTGCGTGGAAATAAACCAGGGCAGGGCCTGCTTGAAAATCTGAGCTTCTGCATTGCTGGGTGGTGGCGTGAGATGCAGAGAGAGGCACCAGATGCTGATGTTTGTTCTCTGTGTGGCAGCTTAGAGAATGGAGTAGATAGGAGGGAGGCCAGGTGAGATCCTGCCTGCCAGGCAGCTGCCTCTTGTGGTTACCATGGAAACGTTAGCCTGCAGACCCAGCAGCCTCTAGTCCAGCCCCTCTTATTAAGGACGACAAGGCTAAGAACCAGACAGAGGAAGAGATTTGCTCTTCCCTGCTGGCGGCCTGGAAACTTCTGTCAGAAAACATTGCAGTAGAACACACACGAGATAAAAGTCGCTATTTACTTTGCAATCATTTTATTTAGTATTATTATTATTTTAGACACGATCTCTCTCTGTTGCCCAGGCTCAGTGTGATCTTGGCTCACTGCAACCTCCGCCTCCCAGGCTCAAGCGATCCTGCCTCCTCAGAATCCTGAGTAGCTGGGACCACAGGTGCACACCACCTTGCCTGGCTAATTTTTGTATTTTTTGTAGAGACAGAGAGTATCACCATGTTGCCTGGGTAGGTCTCGAACTCCTGGGCTCAAGCGATCCTCCCACCTCAGTCTTCCAAAGTGCTGGAATTACAGGTATGAGCTACTATGCCTGGCTAACCATTTTTAACCATCTTTAGAACTCCTCTCGTCATTCTAAACTGAAACTCTGTCCCTATTAAATAATTCCCACCTCCCCTCCCCCCAGCTCTAGCAATCACCAACCATCATTTTTACCTTCTTCTTCCTCCTCCTCCTCTTCTTTTTTCCTCTTCCTCCTCCTCCTCTTTCTCCTTCCCCTCCTTCTCCTCCTTCTTCTCTTCTTCCTCTTTGAGAGAGAGAGGAGAGAGAATAATGCTGTGTCGCCCAGCCTGGAGTGTAGTGCAGCTCACTGCAACCTTGAATACCTGGGCTCCAGCAATCCTCCCACCTCGGCCGACGGAGTAGCTAAGACTACAGGTGTGTGTCACCACACATGGCTAATTTTTAATTTTTTCTGTGGAGACAAGGTCTTACTGTGTTGCCCAGGCTGGTCTCAAACTTCTGGCATCAGGTGATCCTCCCACTTTGGTCTCCAAAGTTCTGGGATTACAGATGTGAGCCACCACGACTGGTGTCTACTTTCTGCCTCTGTGAATTTAACTCCTCTAGGGACCTCATGTAAGTAGAATCACATGATATTCATCCTCTTATGTCTGGCTGACTTCACTTAGCATAATATTCTAAAAGTTCACTCATGTTGTGTCATGGGTCAGAATTTCCTCCCTTTTTAAAGGCCAAATACTATTCCATTGGGTGGGTAGACCACATTCAGTTTATACATTCATCTTTGGTGGACCTGGGGTTGTTTTGCCTTTTGGCTATTGTGAAGGAGGCGTCTAAAAACATGGGTGTATTGGAAACCTTCTTCATAAACATCAATTATTGGTACTTAGTGAAGAACAAAGGCGTTTGTTAAATTTTAAATACAAGGAAAAGAGAAAAGAGAAGAATGATACATTTCTCCCTGAAAGTCGACCAGAAGCAGCCTTTGTGCCTAAATGCTTTCAGGACTCATCTGAGACCCGGCTTTCCCTGGCTGTTGTTCTGAATACTGTATGTTTAGACTACACATGTGTCCAACTCTAGTTCCTGTGGCACATGTTAGCAGAAGCAGCTTTCATCTGTGAGGCAGATTTGCCTTGGGATTTGCTTCTCCTGGGGGACTCTCTGGGCTTCTAGGAAAACTGACAAAAGGCCAGCTGGTCTGTTCTACCATTTACAGGAATGTAGGCTCCACGATGGCAGATGTACCTGTCTCTTCTTAACCAGTGAATCACCAGCACCTAGAACACTGGATGGTGCTCGAAGAAGAATCTGTCAGGCAGGCGCAGTGGCTCACACCTGTAATCCCAGCACTTTGGAAGACCTAGGTGGGAGGATCACTTGAGCCCAGGATTTCAAGATCAGCTTGGTGATGTAGTGAGACCCCCACCTCTACACAAAATAAAAAATTAACCAGTGATAGTGGCATGCGCCTGCAATTCCAGCTATTATGACGGCAGAGGTGGGAGGATCACTTGAGCCCAGGAGATCACAGTGACCCATGGTCACGCCACTGCACTCCAGCCTGGGCGACAGAGCAAGATTTTGTTTAAAAGAAAAAAAAGAAGAAGAATTTGTCAAATGAATGAATGACTAACTGGACGCTCCATGGAGTCCTTCCTTTCCTGGGCTGAGGAGATTTGTCTTGGACCCCAGTCATGCATTCATTTGACAAATTCTTTTTATTTATTTATTTTTTTGAGACCAAGTCTTGCTCTGTCACCCGGGCTGGAGTGCAGTGGCATGAACGGCTCACTGAGTAAGTGATTCTGACATTTACCCAGGCTGTAATTCTAGCATGACTCTTTCTGTTTTCTCATCACTCAGCTGGTAGAAATGACACCTGCTTGAGCCAACCTCACCAGGTGTCATGAACAGGAGCTTCCAGGGGACTGTGTAAATAAAAATACTGTCCCAATGGATGTCATGATTGTCCCTTGCTGTGACCTCTCCTCCCAGCACCAGCCTTGCATCTACCACTAACCTCCCACTTTTGGGCACCTCTCAAAACTCAGAACTTCTCTGTCTTCTCTCTCCGTGGCCGCCCCTTTCCTGCCCCAAGTCTGGCTGCTTCTTCCCTTTCATGGCCCTCATTTCTTTGGCCATCCCCTCTGGTCAGAAATCCCTCCCCACTGTGTGAACATTGTCAAAACCTTGACCATCGTCTGCCTCTGGACTTTTCTGCCCCACCTCACCAATGCTGCCAGAGACAACCCCCAACGTGCAGCTTTGACCTCATGCCCCTAATTTAAACATAACTGAGGGGTTGGGAGCAGTGGTTCACGACTGTAATCCCGACACTTTGAGAGGCCAAAACAGGCAGATCACCAGAGGTCAAGCGTTCGAGACCAGCCTGGCCAACATAGTGAAACTTGACTGTACTGAAAATACAAAAATACAAGCTGGGCATGGTGGTGCATGCCTGTGATCCCTACTTGGGAGGCTGAGGCAGGAGAATCACTTGAACACTGGAGGTGGAGGCTGCAGTGAGTAAAGATCGTGCCACTGCACTCTAACCTGGGTGACAGAGCAAGACTTAGTCTTTAAAAAAAATGACTGATGGTGAACCGACTGCACATAACCTCCTCCCTGGCTTTCCAGGGCCTCCCACCCATGGTCTGTCTGACTTAATTCTGCCCATCGGCCCCTGCGTCTACTCCCTCCAGCGGCACCTGCCTCTCCTGAACGTGTGCTGAGCATCTGCCTCCCTGCCTGTGCACACTGTCCTCCTCTGGCTGCTACATCAATCCTCTTTCCTCCCTTCTCCACTGAGATCCTTCCTATGCGTTAAAACACAGCTCAAGGGCTGGGCACGGTGGCTCACACCTATAATCCCAGCACTTTGGGAGGCCGAGGCAGGCGGATCACGAGGTCCACAGATCGAGACCATCCTGGCCAACATGGTGAAACCCCATCTCTACTAAAATACAAAAAATTAGTCAGGCGTGGTGGCGGGTGCCTCTAGTCCCAGCTACTTGGAAGGCTGAGGCAGGAGAATCACTTGAACCTGGGAGGCAGAGGCTGCAGTGAGCAGATATCACACCACTGTACTCCAGCCTGGGTGAGAGAGACAGGCTTCGTCTCAAACAAATAACACAGCTCAAATGTCCCACTGTGCTTTTTCTATGCTTAATCCACACTCCTCTCGCCATACACATCACATCAACTCAGAGTGTTTGTTTGCATTCCTTTCTTGTCTTCCCCACTAGACTGAATTCCTGAGGGTGGAGAGGATGTGTCTTGTTTCCACTGCCAGCGTTGTCCGGTCCAACCGGCAAGAAGTGGTTGCTGATTTTGGGAGACTCCTTGCTCTCCTTCCTTCTTTGCCCGGGTCTTGGGTGCTGACCTCATCAAAGGGCAGCCTGGGGTTCCTCTTGGCATAACCAGCACATAGCTGGTTATGCACACTGCACGTCGCCCAGTTCCTGGCTTGGAGGGAGAGCGCTCACGTTTGATGGTTACAGCAATGGACAGGAACCCATAGCCAGGGGCTTCGATGCCTCTGTGCCTGATGGGAAGCTGAGAAGGAATTGACAGAGCTCTTTTTGCTTTGGGTCACTAGCGCCCCGTGGCTTCAGCGTTTCTTTGTGCTGGAGCAAGTGCAGTTGCCAGGACCACAGAGGAAGGAGATGGAGGAATGGCCTCAGGCGTCTCAGAGGACGGCACTTATTGCCCCCAGTGTCATCCGCCAAAGACCTTTTCAATTACACCAGATGCATTGGCTCTAGGCAGCCTCAGCTTCCTGTCACCACGGACTCTGTTTAATGTCTCAGCTGGACTTGGCTGCGTCGGAGATTGCAGGGAATATGGCTGGTCCACTTGGGTGGCTTTGCACATGGCCATCCTGTACGTATGCCTTTCTGCCAGCCTGGCAGCCTCTCCCTTCGTCTGCCTTGTCCTTGGAAATGCATCAGCAGGGGGAGCTGGATCTATCTTAAACCTGACGGAAAGCAGACGTCCTTGCATGCAGGGGAGCAAGCTGCCTCGTTGGGTTTTCCTGGAATAGCTCAGATGGCTGTTATTTTATTCGTTGAAATGGAGATGAGTTGCTAAATGTACCAGTTAAATGTGATTTAAATTGTATATCGTTGTCAAGTTTTTCACATAAATTCACTAATTAAAAAAAAATTCTTTGCACAGACATTTGCCTTGATTTTTGTGTTCCATGAGCTGGGAAGACAAATGTTCTAGCTGGGAAGACCATTTTCTGTTTCTAAACTACATGAGGGATTGCCTTTAAGACATTAGACATAAGACACTAGAAGGCTAAAGTCAGCCTGTTTGAGGGCAGCCTTACGGTGTCCTCAAGGTCCTCGTTGAAGGACTAGTAGATCCACATATAACCATTTATTTTATTTTACTTGTATGATTTATTTTTTAAAGGCAGGGTCTTGCTCTATTGCCCAGGCTGGAGGACAGTGGTGTGATCATAGTTGACTGCAGCCTTGAGGTCCTTCACCCAAGGCATCCTCCTGCCTGAGCCTCTGTAGTGCCTGGGACCACAGGTGTGTGCCGCCATGTCTGGCTAACTCCCATATAACCACTTCTTACCTTCCAACTTGCCGGCACCCCGACTGTCCCCGTTTTCCATCCTCGGTTCCCGTGATGAACTGAGTCTTTTGTATTCCTCATGTTGTTTTATTTTCTGCATTTCCTGATGATTTGGGATCTGGGGCCTTGCTGGTCTTGAAGAGACCACCCCTCGCAGGACCCACTAATTCCTAGAGATGGTAACCACTTGTCTCCAAGTGTGCCTTCCATAGGGAAACCAGCCAATCCAAGGTCCGCACCCCCACCTGCCTCTATGACAGAGGATGACACTCCAGGCCTCCGCCCTAACCACCCTTGGGCGGGGTACCAGGAAAACTAGGGGCAGCTCCTATGCTGCCTAACCCATGGCCATTCCTCAGCCTGCCCGTCCTGCCTGGCCTGGCCACTCCACGAAACTACGATAAAGGCTCTTGTGCATGTTTCCAGGCTCGCTCCCTCTGCCTCCTGCCCCAGCCCGGTGCCTCCCCAGGTGGCCGTGCATGCTGTGCTGTACTTCCTGTTTCTAGGGGTCTGTGAGTATAAAAAACAACTTCCTTCCTGACAGATTTCCATGTTTGCTTGTTTCTTTATACCTGGTTAAAACAAATCCTGGGTATAATTTACAGCACCTTTTGGCCTCTGTTCAGCTCAAATCTTGGTAATGCCCAGTCAAACACATAATGGGACTTGGCTTCTTGTCCCATTATGGCTTTCTGGCTCTGACTCTTTAGCCAGAAAGTGAAGCTATCATCTAGTTAATGAAAAAAGAGGTCCCGATATAGACCCCAGGGGAGGGTTTTCAGATCTTTCATGGGGAGGAATTCAAGGCAAGTCGCAGAATGCAGTGAAAGAAGCATGTTTATTAGAAATTCTCCACTGCCGAGCAGGGTGCCCTCAGAGAGCAAGTGGAGGGACGCAGCATCTCTAAGTTTTTCTCGTGTCTTGTCTAAGTAGAGACTTAAACTAAGCTGTGTTTGGGTGCAGATGGGCAGACAACATGACAAGTATTCTATTGATTTACAGAAAACTACCCTTGACATTTCAGAGTGTAAGTATACCAAAGCATAACTGTAATTATCTTAAAAGCACATTTTGGGGCCAGGCATGGTGGCTTATGCCTGTAATCCCAACACGTTGGGAGGCCTAGGTGGGTGGATCATGAGGTTAGGAGATCGAGACCATCCCAGCTAACACCATGAAACCCCATCTCTCTAAAAACACACAAAAAATTAGCTGGGCGTGGTGGCACATGCCTATAGTCTCAGCTACTTGGGAGGCCGAGGCAGGAGAATTGCTTGAACCCGGGAGCTAGAGGTTACAGTGAGCTGAGACCATGCCACTGCATTCCAGCCTGGGCAACAGAGTGAGGCTCCACCTCAGAAAACACAAACAAAACGAACAAACGAAAACCACATGTTGCTGTGGGTAGTGGGCATCTGGACTTTGTGTGGTTGTAGGGCTGTGTCCTCGCAGGTGTCTTTAAGTTATGTTGCTCACCTGTAAACATGACCATGTGACTGGCAAGGATGTGCCTGGCTAGTTTGAAGATGGAGTTGATTGTTGAATGTATCCCTCTGACTCTCCTCGACTCCTGCTTTCCTCACATGCTGAGTCTGCAGGCTCTCTTTGTTCATTCCTCTCTGTCCAACTGTCAAACCAGACGCAACAAGCAGAGATGAATGCATGCTTGAAAGAGAGATTCACCCTTGTTGTATAATTTCAGTTGGCCTAGGAATTCTCCAAGGCCCCAGATAAAGTGCACTCGAATGCCTGAAAAATTCCCACAACCAAATCCCTTTTCCTTGAGTATGACCCTCTTCTTTTTTTTTCCCCCTCCTTGAGACAGGGTTTCGCTCTATTGCCCAGGCTGGAGTGCAGTGGTACAATCTCAGTTCACTGCAACCTCTGCCTCCTGGGCTCAAGCGATTCTCTTGCCTCAGCCTCCTCAGTAGCTGGGATTACAGGTGCACACCACCACGTGCAGCTAATTTTTGTATTTTTAGTAGAGATGGGGTTCTACCATGTTGGCCAGGCCCATCTTGAACTCCTGGCCTCAACTGACCTGCCTGCCTCGGTCTCCCAAAATGAACCTCTTCTTGAACTCCTGGCCTTGACTGACCTGCCTGCCTCGGTCTCCCAAAATAAACCTCTTCTTTTCCTCTTATAATAACAGAATAGAGGCCGGGCGCGGTGGCTCAAGCCTGTAATCCCAGCACTTTGGGAGGCCGAGACGGGTGGATCACGAGGTCAAGAGATCGAGACCATCCTGGTCAACATGGTGAAACCCCGTCTCTACTAAAAATACAAAAAATTAGCTGGGCATGGTAGTGCGTGCCTGTAATCCCAGCAACTCAGGAGACTGATGCAGGAGAATTGCTTGAACCCAGGAGGCGGAGGTTGCGGTGAGCCGAGATCACGCCATTGCACTCCAGCCTGGGTAACAAGAGCGAAACTCCGTCTCAGAAAAAAAATAAAATAAAATAATGATAATAATAATAATAATAACAGAATAGAGATCGGATCAAAATGGCAACCAGGACATGTTCCTGTTCTCCTCCCACCCCAAATTTTATAAAATGAAAGAAAATATATCTTTAATAAGGAAGCCCTCCAAGTTCAAAGTCATTAGTTCCCCACCACCCAGACTAAGCGTATTCCGTGGAATAATGTATATTCTGATTAGCACTAGATTTTGACAGATAAAAATGAATTTAAAGGTTATCAGCAAGAAAAAAAAATAAAATCGTAATGTAGAATTTCCAAATCATTAGAAAAAAACTGCAATCCAATAGCTGGAAAGAACGAATAAGAAAGCATGGTAAAAATAAATTAGAAATAAATCTAAATACACCACTACTCACAATAAATAAAATAAAATGGGTTTAAATGTTCTATTAAATGTCCCTCAGATTGGGTTAAGGGAAAAAAAAACCCTCAAATCCAAGAATACGCAGTATATAGGAGATCTTCCTAAACTAAAATTTTATATAAGAGTTGAGTGTCAACTCAACTCCTGGCCAAAAATGTGACACCCCATCTTTACTAAAAATAGCAAAAATTAGGGCTGTGGCAGCGAGTGCCTATAATCCCAGCTACCAGGGAGGCTAATGCAAAATAATCGCTTGAACCCGGGAGGCAGAGGTTGCAGTGAGCCGAGATGTTGCCACTGTACTCCAGCCTGGGTGACAGAGTGACCCTTTCTAGGAAAAAAAAAAAGATTCTATGATTTATACATGTATTGAAACATCACATTTTCTCTCATAAACATATACAATGACTATTTATCAATCGAACATAAAAAACTAAAAAATTTGAAAAAAGATGTTTTAAACAAAGATAAAATGAATGTAGAGCATTATTTATATCAGACAAAAAATAAAATTCCAAGTGAAAATTACCATAAGAATGCTGATTCTTAGTTATAAAGGTGACAATTCGCCAAGGAGCTCTGATACAGTCATGCATTGCTTAAGGAGGGGGGTTCATTCTGAGAAATGAGTTGTTAGGTGATTCTGTCATGCAAACATCATGGCATGTACTTACAAAAATCTACGTGATGTAGCCTACCTCACATCCAGGTCACATGGTATGGGTTATTGCTCCTAGGCTACAGACCCGTATAGCACATTACTGCACTGAATACTTCAGGCAACCGTAACACAATGGAAGCATTGTGCTGCAACATGATGATGGCTATGTCGCTCAGCTGTGGAAGTGTGTAGCTTCATTATATTATCCATTATAGTCTCATGAGACCTGCTCTGTGTATGCAGTCTGTTATTGACCAGAATGTCTGTATGTGGTGCACGACTGCAGTTACAAATCTCTGTGTCCCTAATAACAGCCTCAAAACAATACGGCATAAGCAATAAATAATACAAGTTCAAAGAGAAATGTACGAATCCATAATCATGGTGGGAGAGTTTAAAAATTCCCCTCTCAGATATTGACAAATAAAATAAACAAAATTTAAGTGAGAATATGTAGAGTTCAAATGAATTAACACATTTTACAAATAACTCTATGTAGAATTTTATAGCCCCCCAAAATAGACTACATTACTGTTGAAACACTTAAGGTGCAAGAATAAGAACTAGAGACCAGGCCGTAAAGAAAAGCCACATTCCGAAATGCAGGAGGTCCACAAGAACAAAAATGACTACAAACAAGGGAATCAAAAATGAAATCATGCATATAGGAACTTCAGAAAGATAATCCAAAACTACTCGTAGCGATTACTTCTGGGGAAGACAGTTGGAGGCGGATATGGAATTTTTACATTTAGCCACATGTATGAAGTATTTGCTTGAAGTTTTTATGGTATTTATTTGTTTATTCATGAGACAGGGTCTCACTCTGTTGCCCAGGTTGGAGTGCAGTGGTGCAATCCCAGTTCACTGCAGTCTTGATGCTCCAGAGTCAGGTGATTCTCCCACCTCAGCCTGCCGAGTAGCTGAGACTACAGGCATGTGCCACCACGCCTGGCTACTTTTTGTATTTTTTGGAGAGACAGCGTTTTGCCATGTTGCCCAGGCTGGTTTCAAACTCCTACACTCAAGCAATCTATTTGCATTGGCCTCCCAATGTGGTGGGATTACAGCCATGAGCCAT